TCATGCGCGTATACAACGTGACAGGGACGGTAATAATCGGTGTTGATGGAATTTTCATCGGCTCCCATCGATCTGATACGCACATATATATATTTAAATATGTAGCCGTGCATATAGAACGGCCGTGTTCGCGGATTGCGTGAAGGCCCTCATCATCGTCATCATCATTATCGTCATCATCGTCGTCATCATCATCATCATCTTCCACGCTGGCTTGTGTTTGCTCTGCAACAAGCCCTACACGCGAACGCGTATAAAAAGCGAGCAAGTTCGAACGGAGCCCGTCATTACCGGGTTATTACCTAAGTATCGTGGGGTGGAAACTGGACCGCGCGTCGACGTGCCTCGCGAGAGAGAGAGAGAAAAAAAGAAACGTCGTATAAAAGCGTCTTCGTGCTCGTCTTATTTATTTATGGAGAACGTTTTTTTTTTTTTATCGATATTTTTGCGGAATTCAGTTTTGGCAAAGATTGGAGGATTGGGTTGGATTCGCCTGAACAGTTAAATTTTAAGTTTAAGTGAGGAGGAATCTTTCTGTTAATCTGAACTCAATTTGGACGATGAGAGGTGTTGAAGTGAATTTAGATGATAGATTAAAATATTCAAAAATATTTTCTTCGTTGACGAATTATTATATTAATTATTAAAATACCAGTCTTTTATTTTGGAATCTCGAGACAGTGGAATGGAACCACTTTACTGTCAACAAAAACACCACCCCTTCTAACCTCCCCCTCGATTAGAATCCGAGAGGCGATTCAATGATGGCGTGGGTCCGTGCAAAAACGCGCAGGTAGAGAGGCGAAATCCCGATAAATCATAACCCAATTTCAGAAACGATATCAATCGCTCCTCTCCCCCCCAGCCAGGCTTCCTTCCTTCCGTTTTCTCCTGCGGAGCTGGACCAGGCCACGATTTATAAAGCAAACACCGTGCAGCACCCTGCAATCAACCCACACAACGCGCCTCTTCTCGGTTTACCGGTGGTGCTGCGTATATACTCCCTCTTCCATCGTGTCTGTGTGTGTGTGTGTGTGCGTGTATCAGATCGAACGATCGGCGGCTTCGATGTATCGCTCGAAGCGTGTTTTATACACCGTACTTAGGACCAACTCGAACAGGAATAAATTAATAGCCTCTCGCGAATAACAGCTGGCACGAAGTTTCGACGATTGGCAGGGAACCATCATCCCCGTGGAAATTGTTCAACGGCTCTTTTCTCTTTATTTTTGTATTTGGTTCAAATTGAATGTGAGAACATGGATGGTTGTTATCCAAGAGATTTATTAAAATTAAGAATTATTCGAAAAATTTGGTGATTTTATACGTATATTTTCATATGTCTGAGAGAAGAATAAATGATGGAACGATCGAAAATTTCATGACGATTTTTCGTGAAAATTTTTGAATTCTTACATAGAATCTGGAGAATGAACGATACTACTTTTGATCTAACACCTGTTACAACAAGCAGATATGCAAATTCCATCGATTTTCAAACACCAGCAACCCGATAATTCGATGCCAGCTGTCCGAGTAAAACCACTGATTTGCGACAACCTAGGGTCCCCTAGCCTAACTCGGAAAGAGTCGATTATAACTTCCTGTGAGACTCACGAAAAACCGTCGTCTCCACTATTTTTTCGTCACCTCAAAAAACCAAAAAGAAGAAGAAATCTTAGATCGAGTGATTCTATCCAAAGCTACGAATTTTAATTTTCTCAACTTAATTTTTTATACAAATGTAACTTCTGCTACCGTTGCTATCATTTCAAACAATTAATTAATATTAATTACCATTCGTCTCATAGCTTGACTGAATCCAATACATAAAAATATAATACAATATAATAATCTCGCAGGAGGAGCGTTAACCCGTTGGTAGGGTTTGAAATTGAAAGCTCGTTTCATAGAAAATAAGGAGGAACGAGTAGAAGGGGGAGGGTGAGAGCCGAATGAAAATGAGGGTTCGCGAGCCTCGATATGAGGAGGGGAGGGAGGGGGAAATATTAAAGCAAATTGTGGCCGAAAGGTTTCGCGGTAGTTTGCCGTGTATACGCCGTGGTATAACAAGCGCATTCGACAAGGAATCGAGGGTTGGAAGTTTGCTAACGAGGCCGTGAGATGTTCGTGAGCGGCGTTGCGCATAACCGGTGTATAATTTTGTGCAGCATTAGAAAATATTAGCGGGGATATCTTGCCTCTCTGGATACACCTTATCGAATAGAATGTTTAACGAGGCCGATTAGGCCCATGAAAGTAGGAGAGATTGGGTTTGTTATTTTTCTATAAATTTCAACTAAAATAAAAGTTATATATATATATATTTAATCCTGATGGAAAAACGCAAGATTTAATCTTTGATATTTGATTTATATATTATTATAAGTTTCATAACTTCATTCGAATTTAAATTCATTTTAATTTAATATATATACATATAATTATACTATATATTAATTATATTATATATATATATATATTATACTATAATTATACTATATATATACATATAATTATACTAATGTTGAATATACAGTTTCTGTCTGACATGCCAACTACCATGTTATCCACGGGAAAGAAATCTGTTGCAACAACATTACGAGTAGTGGAATCTCTTTCGTAGCCCGAAGGTAAGAGCGAGAGAGAGAGAGAGGGGGGGGGTCACGAATAGCCGAGAAAAATGTAATTTCCGAGCAGAAGTCGTAAAGAAGTCGTGGAGAAGGAGGAGGAACGGATTCGTGACTGAGTTTCGGAAGCCAGCCCTCCTTTCCGTGTCGTAAATGTCAAGGGCTTAGGGAGGATAATAATATCGCGACATTGATAATCGCGGATGGCCGGTTGTCATTAATGAATAACCCAGGTAGGCGGAAGCACAAAGTAGCCGAAGAGTGGTATCGAAAGATCCCGAT